ACGCGTGGCGTTTCGCGCAGCGTTTCGCGTGGCGTTTTGGAGCGACCATGCGTTTCGTGGCTCAAGGAGACCCCTGAAATCGCGCGCCGGGGTTCACTGGCATAGTCTCCTGCTTCCAGGGGGTCGTTTCCATGCCTGGGAGGTCTCCCTAGTTTACACATGTTTACACCAGATTGATTCAGAGCGGTGTGGCAGTTTTCAGTCGAGTGGTCCCTGTTGGATACTCACAGAGGACACATCCAGTTTGTTTGCAAGTGTGTTGCACTCCAAGAGAATACAGGAATTGGAGCTTCATCCACACACTCTGTGGGAGACTTCACCTCTCAATGCTTCGTTCGACACGACGCCAACACGGTTCGACTCGTCAGGGAAGCCTGACGAGTCGAGTGAATCCCCCGCCTGGCACTGCGAACGTGCCCAACACTGCGGCCACCAGAAGCCCTGCACCGAGAGGTTGGCTGCTGGGGAGGTGAGTCGGTTGAGAGGTTGGCCCTTCGACCTGCGTTTGGGTCAAACCTGGAGCCCGGGTCCACTATGCAGCTTACGACCTTCTAAGTAGGTCTTGTTTTGACCCACAACCAAATCAGTTTCTGACTTCATGCTGCCCAAGCCAATGCATTGATGAACCGATGCATATCTTGAAGATCTCGAAGGATTTGTCGTGTCCTCTCTGGGGGGGCAGTTTAGTCTGCGAGCCAAAACTGCCTCGGGGTGCAGCAAAAAGTCCCTTGGTTTGGCGTTAAAATGGGGAAACCCCTCACATAAACCACACAGCCCCCCGCGCAACCAACAAAACTTCAGCTTGACCCTTCGCAGCCGCAGCCCGTTCATTGAGAGAAAAAGAGTCTGAAGAGGAAAGAAAGACTCACTTTATCGTCTCACTTGGTCACGGCACCACACCCCTGGGTCATTCGATTCGCCGCCAACCCCCTTGCCCGGCCTCCGCCGCGCTGAGTCCTGATCTTCGGCGTTTTCAGGAAGGTCGAAGGATTTCGTTCGACTGCAGAGACCCCTAAGAGACCCGTGAGAATTCGAAGCAGAACCCGTGAGGGACTGGATCACCATTGACCATGCTTGCATGGGTACCTCGCTGTCTTGGCTGGTTGGTTTCGCCAGTCGGTTGAGCTGAGCAACTATATTATGCAAGGAAGCAACTAGCTAGCATGCATGGTAGTTGACAAGCCCAGCAATCCCAGCAATTCAGAATCGGAAACGGAAACAACACTCAATCAAAAGGCGATCAAGCAAGCACATCAAGCAGCCACACACGATAGGAATCAGAAGAGAGTATTGACCAAACCCAACGAACGAGCAGGCGCTCAATTGCAGCAACCGTCAGAAAAACCGGTCCCAGTCCGGCGGCCACTCGACGAGCGATGCTGGCACCACGTCGTCGCTCGTCGAGTGGTCGACGGACTGGGGCGCGCAAGTGAGTTCAAAACCATGAAGGACGCAAGGCCAACCAAAGCAATAGACAGTCCCGAGACCGAGGAACCCAATTTGACAACAAATGTACGATATAAATAAGCCCAAATCAGCCAACCAATGAATCTGAAACAACTATCTCAGTCAGTTGTGAAACTCAGATCTTGTTTCATCCCCGTCCTTCTCACCGCCATCGAAGTCTTCACCGGGACTACTGAACCCCTGGTGCTGGTCGAAACAGCTGCCATGCAAGAAGCTTCGGCTAGAGACCCCCCCAAATTGGGGGTGTGTATTCAAAGAGGGAGACCCGGAAGAGCTGGAAGGGCCAGGGGATCCTCGAAAGACACACCAAGCCTGGCCCAGTGTACTCGCTGGCTCGCAAAGGGGCTTCGACCATCCCACCCCTCACAAGGACCTACAGAAATTGGCCACCATCATCTGATCTACTGGTCCCTGCTACCAGACAAAGCCTAACCTCCGCAGTGTCCCACTGAAAAATGCAGGCCACACTGAGAAGGACAGGCCGTTTTGTCCCTTCTTTCTCTTCAAACACTGGCTCTGTGTCGTTCCGATGCGTGCTGTTTGATGTGCCTCGCCGAGAGCAGCACTACGGAAATACCGATCGTATTAAAACGTTCCTTGGTGAGCCGAAGAAGAAAACACAGCCGATTTGAACGGCCATGCGGTGGGCCGGGAAAAACAGGCTCTTTTGGAAGATGGCGCGAGAGGAATAACATCACCGAGACCCTTCAGTAAAAAAAACAGCGTTATTGTTGAGTGAGAAGGGTCCCTCCTCAAATTCCACCCTGAGTTCGGCCAAACAGTCGAACCCGATAGTTGCAAGGTGTCGGAGTCAAATAGTAAAAACGTGTGTTCTTTCTGCGTGTGAGCAGAAAGAAGCCCTGGTAGCTGTGCCCCCCATGCCTGGTAGCTGTGCTTGTAGCTATCCAGTTTGGGTGGTGTGTGGGCATAGACAGATGTTTCGTAGTGTCAAAACAGAGCAAAACAAATCAGAACAAAACAATCAATGGCACGATGTGCATGTGAACATACACAATTATATTTTGAGTGCTTAGGTGTTGACTGACACCCATATTATGTTGCCCCCTTGTTCCGTGCTGCAACATCGCACCATCTTCAACAAACACAGGGCCTGTGCCCGCTGCGGGTCAAAAGCACCTCCCGCAACAAGTCGAACTGTGTGAAACATGTGGTGCCACGTCGCTGGTCGCTGGTCGCGCGACCACGAGAGCTGTGCCGTTTGGTATCGGGTGAGCCACGAAGACCTCCACATGGCCTGTTCTTCAAGCTGTCTTGAAATGTCGGCAAAAACAGCTCAGGGCGCACTCTTTTTTCCGATGTGTTTGTTGTTTCTTTTCTTCCCATTCATGTATGCCTTCAAGTCAAGACGCTCTACAGTATTGTATGTCCAACAAAAACATAAAGTACATGCTGCATGTTTGTGCATTATAGATGCATGTGCCTTGACGTGTCCGAAGCAAGAATTCTGAACGTATGCCATACAAATGGATATGTTCTGTTATTTATATATATATATATGTATATATGTATGTATTTATGTAATGCCACACCATTACATTATATGACACTCCATGACACAACATTAATACTGTTTTTTTGCCTGTAGACAAAAGAAAAACAAACGCAATATGTTGGATGGTCGGTACTCCAACAAAAAGGGGTCACTCAGGTTCATCTAGATGCCAACCAAACCCCCCAAGAAGGAATTGAACATAACATGTCCAGCTTTTGCATTGAAAAGGGGTGTCAACACACAGCGGAGACCTCGTCCGGTGGCGACGGGGCGAAAGGGCGATTCTTTCAGCTCAGATCGGACATCTCGGAGGAGCAACAGCTGTATATAGGAACAACTTAGGTTGGAGGCCGTCGCTACTAATACTTAGTCCAAGTTGGGCCGTGTGAGAAAGAGCTTGTGCAAACCAGTATCAGGAAAGAATATTCACAATCAAATCACAGAGATTGCAAAATGGCATGTTCTTCTGGGTCCAAAATGAAAAAAAATGTGGTCATGGCCATAGTGCACTTTTAGGCTAGGATTGAAACCCACTACCAAAAACTCCGATATTATTCAACCTTGTTGCCTTCTCTGATAACAGGATTGCTATCTGCTCCGTATCCCAAGTTGAAGGGTGCCGCAAGCAAAGGAACTGCCATGGTTTGGAAGATGATTCTGGATTCTGCATCGACAGCGTCGACTCTGCGCCGGACGTCTGCCCGGGTTTTGCCATCCACTTTCCGCACCACACGAGTCTCACACCGTCCGTCGCAAAGGCGCCTCACAAGCAAAGAGTCCGCTGCGATTGAAAAATTGAAGCACCAATATGGCAGAAGCGCAGTTCATCCGAATGGATGGGCTCAAAATTCATGCCGGACCCAGCAATTAATAGGGTTTGGTTTGTTCTTCTACCAATGTTTGCTGCACAAACAGCCATGCTCTCTGTGTGTCCCCGACCGCCGTTCTACTGTAAACGGTAAAAGGAGTCATGGCTGGTGCATGCTGGAGTCATGATGGCCAGAGCCAACTTTGGCAAGCGTCCAAAAACTGAAGTACTGTACGTACCTTCACAGTCGAAACATATATATATATATATGTGTATTGTTTGTTTATATATTAGCTACTAATAGCGATGGCCTCCAACCTAGCAGCTTCTTGCTACTAGGAAGAAACATGTATGTGTATTTATATAAATATGCACATATCAAAGTCTTCCAACGGCGTTCCCGGGTGCGATATTCTGCTACGCGCTGTCTGCCAATGAGCTTCTGCAGCCCTCTTGACACGCCAAATGGAAAATGTTTTGAAAGTTTGGTGCCAAGCACAGCCCAAGCTGACTCTCTGAGCAAGACTGTTGCAGTGGTGTTGAGAAATACATCAAACTGTCGACTCACAGCTAACCTGGATGCGACTCAGAGGTTCTGACACCACAAGCATTAACGAACTTGCGGGAACTTTGTTCCAAATCGAAGTGGCTCCAGTTCAGTGGATAGTCGCCCGGTGAGCGCAAACAAGCAATTTGGGAATTGATTTGCGAAGAAAAATGAGGCTTGGTCCTGAGCAGAGCCCATCAGAAACAAGGACATACTAATACCATCTAATGCCACTGAATCAAGACCCCTCACAGCTTAGGACGTATCCAAATGACCAGGGCTTACAGAATGCTTAGACACCAAGGCCATGTGAAGCTATCTCAGGAGTGATCAAAAGCCAAGCAGTGCGAATCTGTGAGGCTTCTTCAGGGGCCCTGACCATCTACAACGGGACGAGTCAGAGTACAATCTGGCAGGAAGAAACTGTGGAGGTTCACACCCTGTGGCGCGTTCGTATCTGCAATCTTCTGCAGAGTCTTGGCAACTGAAACATCTTTTGCCCACGCATTCTCGCAAAACGAACAAAACCCCAAAAATGACCAGTTGTCCAAACCTTAAACCAAAAAAGCAGCTTGTTCCAAGAAACAAACCCAGAACAAGCTGAAAAACGACCAACGGCTTCGGGCAACCAACTCCACCGGCAGCTTGAACTCGCTGCGTTGCGCTCAGAGCCAGGAGGACTGGAGCACCTCTTGGCCGCGCGACCTGGGTGGATGAAGACCGGCAGCGACCGGCAGCGATGAGGGTGTGAAAAAAAGTTCACGCCACGACGGTCATGTTAGTTGCTTTCAAACAGGAGTCGACGGGGTGGTGTTGTTCGTCCCATCCAGTGAGTGGACGTGACAGGGGCACCCCTAACCTCCATGGTCAGCACTAGCACCCTATCTGTGACTGCTGGATGCCAAAAATTGCTTGAAAGTTGAAAGCCATCTTGGAAAGCCACCAACCAGGTCGTGGCCAGGTCGGTTTGAAGAACGAAAGTAACATCCGAAAACGCGCACGGCGCACTAGTAGTGACAAAGAAACTGGTCCGAATTCCGAAAACCTGAAGATTTTGTGGAAAGAGTCTTGACTAGGGCCACTCAATTTCAATTTCTGCGAAATTAGGGTGGATTGCGACAAAGCTGGCACTTTGGAGAATCAAAATGCCACTAATTCGCTGCCTGTAAAGCTGCTTTGGGCTCAAGGATCGCACTGCCCAAATGGTCCAAGTGAGAGATGCCATAAGCTACAAGAGAGTTAGGCACCAAACGGATCCGCACAGCCTGGATTGATTCGTTTGGAACACCCACTGACAGCACATCGACAGCGAGGAGTTCCTCATCGAAAGGGGCTTTCTCGACTTCCACAACAGGACCAAGCGTTTCACCTTCAATAGGACCATCACCGCCATCAAATGCAAGCAAGGATGAGGATGCAGGCAGGACATTTCAAAGACACAATCAGGATCCAGGATGACGGAATGTCCTGCCGTCCGGAAGCGTCCTGGCGAAAGAAGCCCATTTCACGCGTCCGGAGGCGTGGCTTTTCAGCGAAGTCGTGGCAGGCGCAGCCGCGCTCGCTGCGAAACGAGTGTTTCCCACCCGTTGGGAAGGCCGAAACCTGTCGGTCCGGGAGCACTGTTAGTTCACCCTTTCCACATGAGACAGGGGATTTTCTGGGCGCCTTTTTTTGCGTGTTTTTGTTTTGATCCATTCGCTTTGCCGATTTTTGTTGGTTGACAAGGCACCTCCTCTGCATTGCCTCTCCCGGTCTTCCCTCTATTGATCAACCATGGACAATGGACAAGGGTCATAACGCATAGAATAGAGTAGCACCCTTGGAATAGAGGGCCTTGATGATATAGGAGAACATCTGTGTGTATTATTACATATATATATATATATATCACCGATAGTCCACCAACCAAGACGGTGCGAAGGCCATCAGTGCGGATCCCTTCATCCCCTTCGTCGATGCCACGGGATCCTTTCGTCGAGTCGGGTGGACGCAGCTGGAGGCCAGTCGTGATCGCCTGGAAGAGATGAAGGTCACCTGGAAACTCAAAGTTCTGTATGTGTCTTTTCATTTTCTTTTGGGAGGTAGGCCGTAGTAGCTAGCTAGTAGTTTAAATAGCTACTACCGACAGGACGCAGGATAGCTCGCGCTTCTTCAAGGAAGCTCCCCCGCCACCCCCTTGAAGAAGCGCTTGCACTAATGATTTGGTTCCTAGACTTTTAGGGAAACTTAAGATCACGTGAGTGACATGAGTTCCTCAAACTGGATCGTCCTCACCGGGCGTCCCGGGCGATCTGTTGGTGTTGTCCTCTTGGACCTCCAAAGGAACATCGGTCTTTGGCTGGTTGTCGAGTTCCTCCACTGGATTGGCCTACGCCGGCCACAAAGCAATCCACAAACCCATCAAAACCCCAAGTTGTCACAGCAGCGGGGTCATTCACAAGTGGTCATTCTCAATGTTGCTCTGTCCAATCCTCTAAGTTGCTAACATGACCCGCCTGCACGTCGGATGACCGGCTTGAACGCAAGGATTTCTTGCTCTTGGTGAGCGCCGGGTCGAAGGATGACGAGTTGATGCGCCTGGGTCGTGTTCTGCGAAGCGAAACCTGAAAGCCCAAAAGGAAATGTGGACACCGAAAGGTCTTTTCAGGTGCTTCCCCACATTCGTACGCAACATGACACAGAAAGGTCTACAGTGTCGCCCATGCTGAAAGAATTGCAAAATCTGCGCTTCTCTGACTTCAAAGCCCGAGATGTCCAACAGAAGTGCTACGTAGATTTCGGTGGAAATATGCACAAGATCTGCTACCTACACTCAGAAGTTCTTAATTGCAGATGACTGTAACTGTCAATGGCCCTGCAAGGTCACAAGTTCCATCAGGTCCCAATTTCCAGCTCTTGGCAATTCTGCAATCGCGCAGTTTGCAGTTCTTTCGGCTTAGGGAAGTGCCTTCGATGGCCAACACAGGTGGCCGAAGCCCGTTTGCCTATCTCATCCCTTCGTTTAGGTACCATGTTTGGTATCTCAACCTCGTGGCTCGCAACTCTGGAACAAGCCACGGATTGAACTTGTAAGTCACAGCATCCTCTGCAGGTGGGGCCACCTGTCGGAAAAAAGATGCGTCTGCCCGGCCGCTAGTTCCATTGTTCTTTTTGTAAACCCACGTTATAAGAAATCAAATCCCTAGCCTTCAGTTCGACCATCAAAAGAATGATTGACCTGAAGTGACCTGGTTCTGTACTATAAAGTCCTTAGTAATTATATAAATGGTTGTTTGGTAAAGCCTATTCAAATCATGGTTGGATGCCTAGGGCCTAGGAGAAATGATTCTTGATATGAGGAGACCCAACTGCCGATACCGCGCCCTCAGCTTGCGCACGCACGAAGGCATAGAGCCTCTACTGGCACCAGCAGAGCAGAATCTGCTCACTGACCTGCTGAGAGCATCAGCTAGCCTTTCCTGGCTGCCGGGCCTTTTCCTGTGACATACAAGCAAGCGACATACCGGCGAGCACAAGCAATCGATGAAGAGGATACTCAGCAACCATAGCCATCTCTTAAATAAAAAGAAACTCACAAACTAGGACAGGATGATCACAGGATGCCCTCCGTTTGTCCGTTCAGGATCTGTTGATGTTCGTGTCCCAACGGCTGGTCGTGTCCCAACAGATGGAATTTGATGTGAGTGACCTTCCAAATGAACGTGCCAAATTTTGTTCACTTCTAGTGAGGCTTCGTTTTGGGCTTCCGGCTTTGTTTTTCCAGGAATATGCAAAATATCTCTCCAAATGGACCATTCCACACAAAAACGTAACGCTAGGTTTTGGGGGGTGGCTCATGTGATTGATTGATTCTGTCATTTCTCAGCATGACTTCTCGAAAGAAACGGCTGCAACAGGTCCTTTTGACTTAGTTCCAACGGCTCAGAAACGGCTGCAATGTTAGCTTTTCATTGTTTGCTCCTTCTTTGGAATGTGTGTATCTTTTGGCTTTGCTAGGTTGCTCCTTATGGTGGTTCCCAACAGTGTAGTCACCCGGTGCGTAGTTCAGGGGCCCCGTGCTTGGCTTTAGTTCCGCTGTGGTTTAGCTGTGATTGTTTGCTTTGGTTGACTTGGCTTGACTTGAAGAAGCTGAAGGGGCTGGGGCGAGGGCACAGCGCCTCCCCCCAAGAGCAAACCAAGTGTCAAGCCACCAAAAAGCTTCCAAATGTCAACAAAAAAAGAAGTTGTCAAAACCTAGCGCAGCCATCAATTTCCAACAAATCCACCAGAACCAAAAGCAAGCCATCAAAAAAGCAAACCAGCCGGTAACCAAACGCCAGCCGAAAGCCCCACAAGCCACCAAAAGCCAAAAGCTGCAGCCATCAAAGTCAAAAGCCACAGAAACCAGCGCTGCACAGCCAGGTATGCAGCAAGGCGACGCAAGGCGACGCAAACAGCACTAGAAAATGCATGGCATCTTGTGCTCGCCAGGCTGTGCAAGCAACAAACGATGCCTTTTTGATGGGCCCACCAGGTGCTTAAGGGAGAGGATTCTTAAGGAGACCGGGGGACCAAGGAAACCAGGGACCAGTGGATCGAGGCTCCAAAAGACCAGGGACCAGAGAGAGAGAGAGAGACCAAAGCCAACAAGCCGAAAAAGGAGAAAAACGAAAGCCACAGGAGCAGCAGAAGCAACAGAAGCAACAGGTACTGTAGAACAACAAATGTAACAATGACTGACACAACAATAGAACGTCCTCCCTTAGAAACGAGAACCAAATCCAAGTAGGTCCAGCCACTCTACCTCTCAGCAATTCTGAAACTGTCAAATGAAACGCATCACCTCGGTAGCCAAAAGGGTAATGGCCGTGGTCACTTTGTTCATGTCGAAGATGGCCAAAGCTGCAAGCCTCACCGAACTGGGCCATCGGCGACGGGCGAAGCATCGGCCCAAATTCGACCTGGCGAAGCATCGGCCGAATCAGAACCTAGCTGCATCATCCTGTCTGGGTGTCCAACGGCTGGACTACCCTACACTACTTATAGGTCCCCGTTGGACACCCATTGGATGGTAGAAAGGATACTGCATCAATTCTCAGCCGTGCCAGAACCCCAAAGTTGGGTCCGGGCAGAGACCCGCCTGGGTCAACCCCCGTCGTGCGATGTTTGTGGCTAAATGGTGTGCCTCTGGATTGGTTCCCTTCATCGAAACGTGATTTGAAGGGAACTGTAGCGCCAAATCGATGCGACCCAAAAACCGCCTTTCGCACTACATGACTTCTGTTGGGAAAAGCTGAGCAACGAGCTGCCTTGCCGGAAGCCGGAAGCCCCAGTGTGTCCGGTCACGCGACCCCTGGGTATTTTCCGTGTTCAAATAAGTGGTTTGTAGTTTCCCGATCTTCAGGACCCAAAGGAGTTAGAAAGTTGATGATTGCATTCTGAATGCACATCTGCCATCTCACACACACATGGAAAGCACTGCTCTGCATTGGACAATCCTCTTCACATCCAACTGACCCACTTTTGAGGGTGTTTCTCCCTTTGCTGCTTTGCCCTCCCTTCCGATTAAAAAAAGACTCGAATGTGAAACGTCCTGTGTCTCCATGCGCTCCAACTCCAGAGACATCTCCTGCGACCGGGCGAGCTCAGCTCCACTCGGAGGGCCAGGACCGGTAGCGCGCCCGCTGCGAGCAGCAGACCAGGCTGAGCTCAGCTCGAAGGAACAGGTCTTTTGTGTCGAAAACCACAAGGATCAACAAGGGATCAACAGGTTATTTGACCAATGCCACAAGGATCAACACGCACTGAGATTCAATTGTTTGACAGCGGAAAGACAAAGATGCCAACTTCTGCGAAGAAAACAACATCCTAAAGATTCTTGTGCCAAAGTAGCCGCTTGGGGGACCCAATCTTGCGCCCACGAAAAAGTATTTATATAATTTATATAGCATTCAAGTGAAAACAAGAAGCACAAAGACTTCATGATTTCTTCTTAGTTCGGCGATCTCAATTCCTCTTGAAGGGTCAGCCTTAAGTTTGGAAACCAATACGGCGGGTTCGGGTTAGGTTCGGAAACCGGACACGTTTTTACGTTTCGGAGACTCGCACCGTCGGTTACGAATTAGCAACGTGCGAGTCTCATACAATGTCTAAACAGTTGTCCCCAATGGATGTCAAATCAATACGTCCCCACCACCCCACCCCACCCCCGCACCAAAGAATAGTGTCTGAACCTGGAAACGAACGTGTCTGAACCCAACCAAACCAGTTTCTGAACCCAAGAAGTTTCTCAACCCGAGTTTCGGAACCATAGCTTCTGAACCCCGTGGTTCTTGTTTCTGAACCCGGGCCAGTTTATGAACTGTATTTTGTTCCTTCTTGGCTTCTTGAAGACTTTGCTGTGTGTTTTCAGTTTTCACATCAAACAGACCAGTCTATGAAGCACAGCCCCTGCCTTCATCCGTTTGGCCAGCTTGGCAGAGGTGGGAACCGACCCCAGGTTGAACATACGAAGCTCCTGCACCCGTGGAGGGGTGACCCCTCGCGGCCCCGAGAGCTCCCGAAAAAAAGGCTGAAAATTCGGGCATTTTGAGATGTTACTGGTAGTAAGGCCAGGAGCGCCCCGTTCGTAGCGTCCGATCGCTGCTAGTAGCGATGCCCTTCGCTCCTAGTAGCGATGCCCTTTGTGACTAGTAGTAAGGTCAAAAAGCATCATCGAAACTCATTTGGCTGTGGGTCATGGCACCGGACCGACCGGGCATGACCTCAATTTGCGGTCAAGGTCTGCTACATGATGGACGTGTCGGGCTCGTTCCGTGCCATGACCCATCCCTAATTCATGTCTGGTAGGCTAGTAGGTTGGAGGCCATAGCTATGACGGCTACGCAGTTCAGGGTCCTTCTTCCCTCCCAGTGCTGAGCGATAGATCAAAGCACTTCCCGTCATCAAGACCATGATGGCAAGTGCAATGCCAATGCCACTCCTTTTGTTCGAGATTCTTCGAAAGCTTTTCAAAAGGTTTCATGACAAGCGATTGATCAGGCATCTCCTAACCTGGTTTGCAGTATGATATGTCCGCTTCCAAGTTGAGGTGTGCTTACTAAAACGTGCCCTTACATACTGCAGGCAAGAGTCAACATTGCGGTTGAGACACCCTCGGCAAATTGCATCATAGGCCCTTCCTAAGTTTGAAGTCAGCACAAAATATGACCGGAACACTACTTGTAATGTCTGTTCTCTTGGCTCTTTGAGAAACACAATAGAACACTGTCCTTCATGTGATATGAGACCGGTGCACATTCGCATGGCATGACAGCCTCAAACAGTAGATCTCCACAAAAAAAGAAATGCATAAACCCTGGAAAGCATGAGGTCATCGTCTCTTTAGGTCATCTCATTCTCACCCCTTTCCATGTTTGACCCAACAGAAAACCCTAAGCCCTAGGACCAACTAGCACACACTTGACGCCACGGGACATACAATTAGGTTTTGTATCAAAGGCCGCCCGAAACAAGGGCCCCAAAGGACTTCAGTGCTGTGAGCCGCCCGAAATGAATACACGAACCACAGCTGCTAGCAGTGCTGTGTCTAAGTCTTCACCTGGCACGGCCCCCCAAAAAATACCACGCCCTGGCAGCACAACTGCAGGCAGTTCCAAAATCCCAGCGTTGACATGTTCAGATGCGAAGTCTCAAGTCTGGAGCACCCGAAGTCGAAGTCACCCGAGAAGGCCATCGGCCACCCGTTCATCAACTATCGAAGAAAACGACTGCCTGACTCATCGTCATCGTGTTTGTGCCCGTTCGCACCAAGCTGCAACAATCTCGAGGTGCAAGCTCGACGTGGTGACCAGCAAAGTGATACAGAAGGAGACAGTGCAGTCCGTCAAGTTCAGCATGGGCACCTGCAATAATGCACAAGTGCTGAATGTTTGTCTCCCCATGAAAGCAGGTTGTTGAGATTCCCTCTGATACTCCTGCTGGGCCGTGAAGCTCCATTCTAGGGGCGAGTCCTTGTTTCTCATAGGATACTATGTCATGAATTGCCACCGAAGAATGAATCAAGGACGGACCATGGAGAATTACCAAGAATTGACCATCTGATACAATATGTAGTAGACTCAAGCCAGAAATGGCAAACAACCAGTAGGAAACAACATCTCACTGCCATCATCAGTGAACACCAGACAGTAACCACAAAGCTCTTTCCTATGTGTTTTTGAGCCGGAAGAAACGCGTTCCTGACACGTCTGGAAATGTTTCAGAGCAGTAGCAGCGCCTTCCACGGCCAGAAGAGCATCTGCAGAACCTCAGAAAAAACAAATGATGAGTTTGTAGTTTGAATGGTTCCCTCAACTGCTGGAGTCGGACGAGTCGAACTAAAGGGGTCTCCCCCAGTAAGTGAGAATGTGGGTTCCTACATTAGAAGGAGATAGACGGGCATTGCTTCAACCCAGTGGGCTCGTTGAAATCCCTTGTTGCAGTGGTGCACACGTTCGTGCCGTTGTCCCATCGATGTCACCAGAAAGCATCGCACAGGGTCGAACACCCTGGCAAAGCGCGAAACATACACAGAGTGCAGGAAAACACAAGCTTGTACATTTTTGAACCTGTCTGCAGGATTCCAAGGCAGAAAAGCTTTGCACGTTTAGCGCACCTCCGTGCAGCAAAAGTTTTTCGACCTTTGTCCCAATTGTAGCCTTTCTAGAAGGGTTCTAGTCCACATCCAACCTTCAAATTGTCTCATTTTGTCCTGCCTTCCTGTGCTTCCAAGACACCAGCAAGCCAGCCATGACCATAGCAATGGCGATAACTTGGATTGGTGGATAGTCAGTGGCCAAAACCACCGGCAAAGAGAGCAAAGGCCCTCGTACCAGCAAAGGCACACCAAACCACCAGGAGTCAAGGCGAAATCTGAACACCAAGAAGCGAATCCCTGCCACCAAATGATCTCTGCGGTTAGCACTCCAAGTTGGCACCTGGGAGCAAAACAGCTTGAACATGGATGAGAGGCTGGCGACATGGCGCTTATTCTTCGGAACGAGCACTGTAGATCATGTAGTTAAACACCTTTGCTCAATAATGTCCAGTCTACATGCGGATGGAAAGACACAGAAACATAGATGTGTGGCAAGGTGTCTTATTCGTGGGGGGGTGATGACCGTTGGGTCACCTATTCGCGCCGTTGCCATAATGGTCACTTGGAGAAGGAATAGAAACGAATAGAACAGCTGAGGGCAAACTTGCCAACATCACATACTTGAAGCATTACGATATCCACCACATGCCAAGGTCATGCGGACGAAGCCAAGCCATTGAAGCCAAGACTCTTGATAGACTGCAAAGGTGCACAAGGTGACAAAGCCCAGCACAAAGACAATAAGCAGAATCCAACCAATGACAAGCATAGCTGTGTGCTCGTCAGATCCGCAAATGATGTCTGGATACTTCAAGACGCTTCTCAAACCGTTCGGGTGCTTGTAGCACATCATTGGAGCAAGCGATGTTGCTGACATGGTGGAAAATCCGACTTGAAGAAAAGCTCCGCAAGTACTGACTGTCTTGGACCCATTCCAGCGGCGATTTGCCGGCAGGAGTTTAGAAAGTAAATAGCAAAGCCCCAACCAAGCCACGCCAACAGGAAAGATCAATGCACTGAGAAGGTATCGGATCGGCGCGACAGAGCCTGAGCAATCCCCAATTCATCACAAGTCAGTATTTAAAGCTATTTAGCCTAGCGCTGGGAGAGAGACGTCAATCCGAACAATCGAAGCTTTAAGATTCTGAATCGCATAGAAGTCGCTCTTGCGATGGCAAAATATCTATTTGCTCTTTGAGAATCCATACATGGTCATTAGTTGACCCTCTAGCGGCAAACACCAGCTCTATCTCTGAACTGAGACCCTTCCAGCCTGCAATGCAGCTGAATCCATAGCTGTCAATGTCAAGCAGGAGGAATTGGCAAACGCTGAAGATTCCCTTGAGATCTACAGGCCAGTCAATCGTCATCATACCAATGAGCCCCAAGTTTTGCATGGACATCACGAGCATTCCAAATGATGCAGTGGTGGCAAACAGCACGGTCGCTTTAGCTGTAACCTTGCTTGAGGTTAAGTAGTACAAAAGAACCAGGAAGACAAAGATGCCGACCACGGCCATGGCCTCAGAGAAGCGCCCGAAGCACGCAAGACCAGCAACGCAGCAAGCACAAAGTGCACAAAGCTGGCACAAGAAGTTGGCACAAGAGTGCAGTCACAAATTTGACCGTTTGCCGTTTCTTGGAACTGAAGCTTCCTCACGAAACCTTGCAAATGGCCGTGAATGGCCTACGTTCGCCAAACATGTCTTCCACCACCCGAAGAACAAAAGCCACTTGTAGATGTCCCATCGCACCCTATGCCCAGCATCTTTTATTTGAGTCTGGTATCATTGTATATTTGCGAAAAGGCTGAGCTGACAAGAAGGCGTAACCCGCGAACTCTTGGGTGGAAGCACTGTTGGAAAAACCGTACCACCCATTAGGGTGTACCACCCATTAAGGCAAGCAAAAGTTCAGAGTATTCCTATCAGGGCGCGCAGTGCCTAGGTGCACCAAAAGCACTTGAGGAATGTTCGAGTCAGTCATGACATGGCTTCGTCAAGAAAAATACCCCAGCAAATACCGAGTTCCGCTTGTCTTCAGCATAAAACCTGAGGTCCTGGCCCACAGGACTTGGCGCCAACCTTCACACGCTTCGCACTGGTTTCCAGTCCAGGTCGCGCCTGTCGATTGCACTGCGGTGGTGAAAGCCGTCTCGTCCGCGGCTGCTGCGCCCAGACCCAGACCCAGACCCAGGCAGGTGTGTTGTATCTTCCGCGTGCATGGATTGGAATCTGATGAACGGATCAAGTGACAATGCGGAGTCCAAGTCTTCTGTGTCAACATCGAGCACTGGATATGATTCCCAGGAAAGGTATTTGCCGTGTGACAAGCAGATTGCTGCAACTCAGCCCTATGAGTACCCAAGCTAAATGCATGTTGATGCATGCAAAAAGTGCAGCAAGTATATACAGAGATGTTGCCGGGTGGACAGTCAAACTGGTGACTCGGGGTTCTCACATTTTTAGAGATTTTAAGAGCGATGGCCTCCAACCTATATAATAGCAAAGGAACCTATATAAAATACTTTGTATACCTCTGAAAGAGTGCCTTTTGACTCGTGGTGAGTCTGAGGACAGTCCGTATCAGTCAACAAGCTGGCGACCTCTTGCAAAGCATCTTTGTCAAACTTTGCAACCTGAAGCTGTCTGATTCATCTATACATATCACTAGTCATTTACCAGGAGCCCTTTTCTTTAAGTTGATGCACGACCTTCGGCTAACAAAATCCTGTCCAAAGCATCTTCCATCATTTTACCCTGTTCAGAGACGATTATGTCAATCTTTGTTCAATAGGAGGACGTTCTCAAAGTTGTTCTTGCATGCGGCGCTGCGAGACTTTCACTCAGCCCTATTCGAATGTAACTTTCAAAAGACCGCTGGCAGCTAGCATCCTCCTTTCTGGTTCACATGTGCTAGATTCTTTGTGTGAATGTTTAGTGTGGTCCTTGGATCCTGGGAGTGGTGTCTAGGATTTTTTTGCAGAAATCAAGACTCGCACGAGAGGATGTGCAGTCTGCTAATTTGCCTCTGCTGGAATGAATAAGTATGATCTGACTGTGGTCAACCTTCTGTGTATATACTGTAGTAGTTTGAATAGCCGCAGGCAGGAAACTAAAACAACGCATTTGCAACGGCCAAATATTCTTCACCCAGTCAGTAGTTTAACCAAGAATTACTTTCAGCAACCACAGCTGATGCTGACAGAGGAAGATGGAGAAAAGATGTGACCTTCGTGTCTCTCACGCTTCGCAAAACCAGCCCGAAGACACGAACACGTCGACTAAGAACCAAGGTGAGATATGTAATGATCCTGTACGCTAGACATGGGAGGTGTAAGAATTCCCAGTGGGCCTGGACGGCATTGGGCGCAGGGCGTGTTCGTGAGCCCACCACTGCATGAGCCAGGCTTGCCACCAGGGCAGGCCGCAACAGTTCCGCATCGATATACCTGGAAATCCATGTGTGGAATCTGCGACTTGCCAGCTACAAAGAGAAGCAAGTAACCTCCCCTCCAACAAGCATGGAAGCTGACAAGGACCCCCTTAGTAGAGGAAAATGGTCTTCCAGGGGGGGTCGAACTGGTCCACTTCCATGATTGTTTCAGGGAGTGTAGCTGGTTTCTTGGTTTCTTCGCAGTCTTGCGCCTCGGTGGGCGCCAACACTGTGGTGAAGTATCCTTCCTGGACCTTCGGGGTGTACTGCTGGCCGAGATAGCTTTCGCCGCTTTGCAAGTCAGCCTCAGAAACCAGCCACAGAACGTCAAGTTGACGGAATGCATTGCTTGAAATACGGTTCCAAAGACTTTGAACCTTCAAGAGGATTACAAGTTACCTGAAGCTTGATCAGGTCCGATGACAAACTGAAGGCAGAAACAAAAACCAAAACAACAGAAATCATCTCATCTCATCCTTGTACAGCAAGAGCCCTTTCTGCCGTGCAGCGAGCGTGGATGCCAGTGGACATGTCAAACCTTCGCTGCAGGGCACGCAATTGTAAGAACCTGGCACTGGACATTCTGACCAGGTCACCTTTTGACCGGAAGAACTTCACAAGTTACGGTATCGTGAGAAAAGGAGTCAAACTTAACAAAATATTGAGAAATCCACAACTGACAAACGTATGATTTGAATACGGCATGGTGTCATCTTGGGAAAAATATGATTGAACATCATCGGCGCCTGACACATCGATGTTGATGGTGTCTTTTTTGCAACCGCAATCTCTTTGGCTGACCGATCCTTGAGATCCGCTTCTGCACCAGCGACCCGGTCCGTTTTTTTCGGCGCGACTTTTGGGCTGGATGTGTCTCCCTGGATCCATAGATCCTCCCCTTCCGCTTTCAGTGCAGGGAACTGAGAAACGGCCCTAAATACCGTGGGTTCCACAAGAGTCTGGTCCTGAATGGAAAGTTCGGTATCCTGACCAGTTTGCAACTGCAGTCCCAAAGAGCCGTGCACTTAACCAAGCCCAACGAATTTTTTTCGGAAAAAAAACAAAAAAATTTCTGCGCTGCCTACGTCTCACTGGTTTCCAACACACCCCGAGTTGGCGCGCCCCAAGCAGACCCTCGTCGCCCTGGTCGGCCAAGATTCCTAAACCCAGGGTCGTGGTGGAAGCTGGACAGCTCTTGCACATTTCAGCTCCCAGTTCGTCCTGTTGAGGGCACTCTGTGGCTCACTAGGGCTATACTATACTGACGTGTTGTGATACAGTTGCTGAGAAGTGTAGTCTCTGGTTGTGCCAAGTCAGAAGGCAGCCACAAGCCAATGCTCAAAACACTGCATCGACGCTACGGAGCGCCTTCTCTCACTTGAGCCAACACAAACTAGCGTCCTTAGTCAATGCTGTACAAACGGAAGTGTGCATGGGCTCTACATTTCAACCCTCCCCCTCTTGCAAGGAGCTTAACCTCTGCGCAAGTCTATACACAAATGATGTGAAATATTTTCCGGCTGCCCTGGCCTCACTTGAGGATATCCAACTGTCCTTTGCTCCTGCCACCAAGATTTTGTCAAGACATCTTGTCAGGCACACGCTGCACCTTCAAGCGTCGTCTGCTACACGCTCTTGCAACCATAGGTCGCGAATTTGGACGTGGCGGGCTTTACACAAGCCGACACGTTGAACTGTGCCCTTAGCAAAAATCTTCCCCCATCACAATATCAAGTTGCAAACCTATATCCTGGCAAAGCGATCCCAGGCCTAGTCCAATCGAACCTCTCTTTACTAAAGCGTATATATATATATATACTCTGATTTGCCTGTCAAGAGGGCGATTGTTCATTGCACATTGCCACTGTGTTTCAGAACATGAGTTCCGAAAAGGGCCACCATTCCTGTGGTGGGTTTCCCGTGAGCTCACCCTATCCCTGGAGGGCAGGCCGTGAGAAACCTCAACTAGTCTTCATAGCCATGGCTGTGCACACAAAGAGCCCAGGCACAACCCAGGCCTCCATCTAGGTGGCCCAAGAACAAACGCGAAATCTCCATAGTTGCAAAGAAAGCGCTCATCCGGGCAAAACAAGCGTGACAAAGAAAAATGAATTCGACCAGGTGAGATGCAAAAAAAAACAGATAGCCGGCTATCACCTGCAAGTTTTTTTCTCCAATCTTGTGGCTTGTTGTCGGCCTGCGTTTGTTCCGGCTCAACCCAAGGCAGCAACAAAACCTTACGAGGCATGTCCAACCACCAGGCTCTTGCGTTGTGAACAATAAACGCAGCATCAGCACACAGCACAAGGAAATGAAACATCACTCCTGAGTACAGAGTATCGACGACCTCGGGTCATGGCTGACATCACCAGTGTACTGTCATAACCACTATACCAATGTCAGCACGTCACCTACAATCGCAGACTGCTTGCGGAAAGCTTGCGGTTTGCCATTGTTTTCGACGCAACTCCGTCTGAAACCAAGGTGTCGATACAGCCAGAAGGCATTGAACCACGTCCTGCGCGGTCCATCTCCTGCTTACATTATCTATCTGCCGCATCTTGGGCCGATCATCGTCAGTCGGCGTGCCCACAAAAATCCAACCACCCCGAACCCGGAACTTCAGGGGACACTGCTTGCATCTGCTTGCTTAAACCCATCTGGAACACTCGGGACCGGTATCAGCCAAATGCCGGACCCAGGAAATCAATTGGAGATTTCTGTCTTCCCCGGAAATTTGGGATAAGAAACAACACTTCGAACCTGCCACGCCACTCTTCATCCCGAAGAAGCCTCTGCAGTGTCTGAACTCTCAAAGTAGCAAGCTTGCGTTCCACCTCGGGGGCCTTGAGGAAACTGATTTTAAAGGTGACACGTCCAAAGCTCACCAAGTCCTGCGCGCCCGGTCGCGTCAACAGCTGTTTGATGGCTTTGTCACATGGAGACGAACTGCCCAGATAAGCTAAAGTAACCAAAGCGTGAGCCCTTGCTATACCGTGGATCCGGGCCAGATTTCGGAGCTATCGGACCTGATCCTCAGCGCACCAAGCAACCACTTTTGCAGGCACCTGGCCTTCCTGTTCAGGTGGGGACCATTTGGAAACATCATCACTGTCTGTGATCTTCTGAAAAAAGGGAGCTTGTGTTTCCCCTCCTTTCCTTTAGCTAAGGGCTCGCTCTCTGGAACAGGACTGTGTCCAGGACCAGTCGCCTGCCGCAGTCGTTTCCCAGAACCCTTAGGTTCAGGAGTGCCGCCCGTAGGAACCCCCAAAAAGAACGATGGGAGCTCGTCGATCGGTTCGGACTTGTCGCCTCCGGCCGTACTGGCCGCATCTGGATCAGGCTCAGGCTCCTTCTTCTTCTTCTTCTTCTTCTTCTTCTTCTGGCCAAGTTTTCTCTTCCCTTTCTGTGTTTCTGGCAAGGTTCCTCTTTCTTCTCCTTCTTTTCTGCCTCCAGCGCAGCTGAAGCAGCCGCTGCGGGGCTTCCTCTTCGAATTCCTGAACCTCTGAGGAGGATTCCGCCTTACTATGCCTCTCTTCTCGAAGCCTCACGCCTTCGCGCTACCATCAAAACACTGTATCGACGCTACGGAGCGTCTTTCTCCCTTAAGCCAAAACAACCAAGCGTCCTTAGTCAATGCTGTACAAATGGAGTTATGTATGGGCTCTACATGTCAACAAACGTGGTGTGGGATGCACATACAAATCAATCAATCAATAAATATATCAACCAATCAACCAGCCAATCTACCAATCAATCAACCAATCAATCGCTGCAAAGCCGGCAAGACTGAGTCTTGCCGGCTTTGCAGCGATTGATTGGTTGATTGATTGGTAGAAGACATGATGATACACAGTCATGAGAAGCTGTGGCCGTTTTGGAGCTCCTGGTAGAGGCCAATCTCACAGCGCTTACAAGTTTTGCTCCCAATCTCATCCTGATACTCGCCTGCATGAAGGTATGGACAGGTGCCTCCGATTGTCTGAATATGCTTGGCATTGTGGGGTTCAACCCCATTGCTTGGGAAAGCTCCCTTCACTATGCAAAAATGTCCTGAAATGTCCTGTTGTGTTGAACTGATCACTACAACATTGCCAACGCTTGGCAAATTGACATGGCCAACTCCTACTGCGCAGACGGTCACTTCGGGCGTTGCCCCCCACGGAGGCGACCGGAGCGACCCAGCTTTCCCAACCTGATTTGCAAAGACTGCACGATGTGGCCGCGCCAAGAGGTTGGCTTCTTCCTTTGGCACATGGTACACAGATGTAGGTCTCGCCAATGGAATCTTCCAAGGGCTGTGAGAAGGTACCCGAGGGGCAAGCCTGCAGAGGACTTCAAGGAATGCTACGAACTTGACATAGTGGGAAGGAAAATCTGGTCTTCATACATGAAATGAGAGGGTCTGGCGAATCATTACAGTGTCATCACATTCGCATGAAGAACATGCCCTATCATGTCAATGCTTCGATAGATTTCTCAGAACTGCATCCCACTTCGAACGTAGATCTGATCTAACCTACTCAGCAATTGGCAAATAATCATGAACGGAGTAAGTTCTACTCCCAATCTCATGTCAAATTGTTACTACACGAGAAATCCTGTGTATACAGCTGTTGAAGTTGTCATCCTCCAAACCTGGACGGCGCAGGCCTGACACACGATCTTGTTAGAGGCATTCACCCGATGATCTGTGAAGTCATCGAGACCTGTGTCATAAAGTCCGAAGCCCGGGAAGCATTGACTCTCATCAGGAATCCAGGACTGCCAGACCTTCTGATTGGAACGTAGCCAACGGCATGTTGTCTCTCTCCAGCTATCAGATGTATTTTTTTTGGTCGAGGAGAATCGCATTCATTTGCGCCATGGTCACCAAAATGTTGCTCACAAAATTCTCAACATTGGGTGCCAGAACGCTCAAGTCTCGGCTGACGTGCTTGTCAACAGAAATGCCACTTGCTGCAGTCGACATGTCACCACTGCTGTAAGCTCTTCGGTCGGTTGGTGGATAGATCACCTGAAGCGGCTCCAGTTCCAGAAAGGTGGGATCTGGGATCCACCAATAGAAGTGAGATTTCGGATGCAGAAAGGGAAACTCCGTGTAAGCGCTCCAGGATGCTGCCACACCAAGGGCCATGGGCATGTTCCATTTGGTCGATTTCTGCATCAGCTCTTCAATGCCCCAACCAACACCCCCAGTGATGAAGGGAACGCAAAGTGTAGAGTTCGATCGGCAAGAAGGTGAAAGCCACCAATGACCATCATCACAGCGTGCTGAATATGAATCAGAAGTGCTGTCATAGACCAAGCCATCAACATCTCCTGTGAAGACGATGTGCCTCCGCATGGTTGCATCATCAGTCATCACAGACGTCGAGTCGCTGCAGAGTTTGGTCAGCCCAGAGGGAATCACTGAGATGGACTCAAAGTATTTGGAAGGCTGGTACCAAGAGGCATTCCAGTACTTGAAGTATTGCAAGGCCATTCCCTGCGTCCGGTATGCTTCCTGTTGCACGGGCTTCGGAATGAAGGTCGAGGTGAGACCCTCATATCCCATGTTTCCCAAGTTCTTCGCTGCAACACCTGCGTATTCGTTCTGAAGCGTCTCCCACACCAAAGGGTAGCCAGCTGTCCAAGCCTCCATCACAATGTGATGTTTGGTGACCTCAAAGCATGAACTACACAGAAATCAAGCCAGGAGAGGTAGCCTGACGCTTCTGGGGTCAGACTATCTCTGAGGGCCTCAACGCAAAAGAGCGTTTTGAAAGAGAGGTCGAGAAACGAGCGAAGTGCGAAACAATTGCCCACTGCACAGCTACAAATGGTCGGTCACTCTGCATTTGTAGTCAAAAAGGTAAGAAGCCAACTGACTGCAAGGCTTGAACCAACCTCAGTTTGCTGCCTAAACCAGGTCTAGTATCTGGTCTTAGTCTCTTGGAGAGGATCAACATTTAACCCCACCCCCACCAGCTGTACCTAATACGCCAAAGCACATTTCCTGAGCCACAGCCAGGATCGCCCACCGCGGTCGGATCCACACAGCCGCTGACGGCATAGAAGCCACTCACGGTGCCGGTGCCCTTCACAAGGCTCACGTTGTAGCCAAAAATCTCCTGGTTCCGGCGTTCAGTTTCTTGGCACCCTCCACCAACTTGGCCCACTCACCGCCATCGCCTTCATCCCTCTAAGCTCTAAGGCCCACAGTGAGGCAAAAAGACAGAGAGACCCGTTTTGAGAGGCCAACGTGTCAAGCGGTGGAACCGGAGAGGCCGCTCTGTTGGACCAACCAATGGGGCTGCAGATCTGGGAGGCTCCGCGTTTTTGCGCTTGGGACCCTGGTCACCACCGCGAGGCAGGGCTTGGACGTTGGTTTTTTCAACAGAAGGCTCTTTGAGAGCGTGCTCATCAAACTAATCGAACTATGAGAGAAGAAAAAAATCGGGTTGTGTTGCCAAGTGCGACAAGGAAATCCTGTAGACATGGACATCCGAGATCAAATGTTTATTCAAGCCTTTACCCCACCGTTTACAACAGAAAGACTCCTCAACGATTGTTGCCACCAGAACATTGGCTGCCCATGATGCAGCCCAATCCGGAACGAAGATGCCAAGAGGATAGGAGTCACCATTTGCATTCTCCTGAAAGAACATATCTTTGCAGGAAAGCCCGCACTAAAAGAGTTGAGCTTGCTTTTCCATGCATGTGGCAAGCATGTTCCGGTGGGAATGGAAAACGTTTAATTCGCTCAATAGAACTACTGTACTCAGCAGTGCAGCTGTCGCCTTTGGCCTTCGGAAGCATGCTGGGAGGTTGTGCTTGGAATTTGGAGTTGTTCCAGTGCTTGAAATCATCGGGAAGCTAGCCTCCAGCTGAGAAAATCTGGAAACTAAGGGCATGGCCAGGTTCTTCCGCTCAGAGGGCGGGATGCCGCTGTCAAGGCATGTCCCACATACCAAGGGCACCACCAAGCCTCAGCATCAAGCACAGGCAGGAGACTCTCTATGGTTAGTGTTCAGAATGTCGGACAAGCAACCAACTCAGAAAAGTGAAACATGTCTTGGAGGTGCTGACCAACACAGCAGAGATAAACCTCAACTTGGATACCTCTTCTCTGTCTTCCCATTGGGGTTCACTGGATCATCCTGCAGTGTTGTTTGGCAGTTGTAAAATTATGCATGTCTTTCAAGCGTCACGTCCCTTCGCAGCTGAGCCGTCTACTAATTCATATACTGCCGAGGCTGAGAAGAGGACTTCTTACTGTGAAAACATCTCTAGATTGGCAAGACATTCAAAGCTAAGATTCTGATCACGCAGCTTCGCATCGTCATCGCAGGGCAAAGCTTGCCACGAGCCCGTTTTCTGAACTCAAAAAAAGGCTGCAAATGGAATTCACAAATTTACACGTCTCACACATGTGCAATTGGAATGACAAGAAAGTGGAAAGTACTCAATGTGTTTTTGAAGGGTACCCCCAAGCAGAACTCCGTCAAAAATCAAAACTATGAAAACTGGATTCTTTCAGCAAAGTCATGGTCGAAGACCAGCTGGTCACATGAAAACAAAGGGTTGGGCCCACTTTTCCCTCCTGTTCAGTCACTCTTCAGTCTCAGATCGGCAGGCAGGATTGCGGGGACTTCTGGTTGTTCTCGCGGCAAAGGACGATCAACGAAGAGGCAAAGGACTCCCACTTCACACTGACTGCTTGCTTTCGGCGGCGTCGGCCTTCACGGCCTTCAATGAGGATGATGGGCACGGCCTTCATCGGTCCACCACACACTCAAAGGCTCGGATGGGCACGAGCCGTGGGGCCCATTCTGGAGACGTCAACTCTGATGGCTTGGACGCTGAGTGACGTAAATTCCTCAAGACCATGGACCGTTCGCAGCGAAAGAGTTCGTGGAACTTCGATCCTGCGAGCCACGGCATTCCACCATCGGACGACCAGAAACGGTCGTCGTCGGACTTGCGGAGATGGTGCCGTTGCGGCGCGAAAACGACAGTGAAACGCTTGTGTACTTGTGTACTTGACTCAGATCGTTTGTGTCGGATGTCCGAAGTTTGTGAGTGTTGTCGAAGTGTGGGAGGTTTGGCCGTCAAAAGTGTGGGAGATGCATAGTCTGGTCCACTCGTATGCCAAAGTGTGAGACTGCCGTCAAAAGCGGAAGTGCAGGATGCTAAAAAGCGTGAAACTGTCGTTGAACGTGGAGGATTGGGATGCCAAAGTGTGAATATGCAAGGAGTGGCTTGCGGGTCCCAGAGCTGGCTATTTTGCAAGAATGTTGTAGGTGGGCCGAGAGGCTGAATGCAAACCGAAGGAAACTTCATGTTGAACAACATAAGTCCTACTGTGGTGCTGACTGCAGATGACAGACGGCCACAAAGATGGGGCAAATTGCAGAGCAAAGGCTGTGTGGTTACCAGCGGTTTTCCTTCTATGCGTGTTGCACCCAAATAGTCCATTTTGTTTGACGCTTTTCCATGTTGGCAAAAAACATCACTCTGGGCATGGGTGTAGTTCAATACTTACGCACCCAAGAACAGGGTGTCTGCACATCCTGCCAATGAGTGTTCTGTCCTGTCCCAAGCTATTTTTGAACAATACATTATACATCACCATTTTTTCTGTCTTGCTTCGATAGCCCTTGACGGGCCACCCCGATACCTTAACAGAACTTCTACGGAATGCCAAGAGTTATTGACACCTGTATCCCTGCATCTATTTCTATATGCTATATACCTTCATGATGGTGATGACGCGATCATGCAGCTGTGAGGTGTTTTTTGACAAATGTAAAAACATTTGAAATACACTTGTATCTACGCACCTTTAGTTGATGATGATAATACCCCATGAGGATGACTACATCATGATGATGATGAGGAGGAGGAGGAGGACGATGATGATGATGATGATGAGGACGACGACGACGACGAGGAGACGAGACGAGACGAGACGAGCACGATGATTTGATGACACTCATGGGAAGAAGATAAGTGTTCTTGCAGCTGTTGCTGACGGGTGTTTTTGAGAGCAGACCCTAGTTCAGATGTAGAAATCTACAAATACAAGCTGGGCGGTCCAAGCAAGCGCATGCGCAATCCAGTATCAGATTATAGCCCCAAACAAGTGAATGCAAATCAGGCAAACTGTGATTTTTTTGGGCGCGCTTCTTCAAACAAACCTTTGCCTGCAGTCCCAACCATGTGCTTTGCCAATCATGGGGTAGGAGACGAGCGTGTGGCGTCATACAGCGGAGACAAGTGAGAAGACAAGAGCGGAGACAAGCAAGACATCATGTCAAGTAATATTTCCACAGAACAAATAACAAAACCATTGAAACAACCCAGGTTAATAAACCGCCCCCCCGTTGAACAAGGTCTGAGGTCCAATTCATGGCGTTCTTTCTCCCTCAAGAATCTGATGAGAAGGTTGATAGGAACAAAGGTCAGCCAAGGGAGAGTCGGAGTATCCAGGTAGAAGTAGAAGTAGTAGCAGTAGCAGTCGAGGTCGTAGTCCTCGTTGTTGTCGTCCTTGTTGTTGTGGTAGTGGTAGTGGTAGTGGTAGTGGTCGTGGTCGTGGTCGTGGTCGTGGTCGTGGTCGTGGTAGTGGTGGTGGTGGTGGTAGTAGTAGTAGTAGAAGTAGTAATAGTGCTGGTGGTGGTGGTAGTAGTACTCGTCGTCATCGTCGTCATCGTAGTCGTCGTCATAGTCGTCGTCGTCGTCGTCGCCGTCGCCGTGGCCGTCGCCGTCGCCGTCGCCGTGGTAGTGGTAGTATAGTGGTAGTAGTAGTAGTAGTAGTAGTAGTTAGTAGTTAGTAGTTAGTAGTTAGTAGTTAGTAGTTAGTAGTTAGTAGTTAGTAGT